ACCCGAAACCCTAAACCCTAGAAACCAATGAGCTTCGGCCCAGGCCTTTTGGTCTCCAGACCAGCAGTCTGACCCTGAAACCCTAAACCGCTTGCCAGGTCCTCGGTTTCCTTCCGAACATGGACTACTTCGTCGCTCGGGCGCAGGGCAGAGATTTTAAGCAAAACTGGGCCTGTTTAGGGTTTCGGGTTTGGGGGTTGGGGGTTTAGGGTTTAGGGGTTTAGTGGTTTAGGGTTTAGGGTTAAGGGGTTTGGGGTTTAGGGGTTAAGGGTTTGGGGGTTTAGGGGTTTAGGGTTGGGGATTCAGGGATTTTAGGAATTCCAAGAACCCCAAAACCCTAAACCCTAAACCCTAAACCCTAAACCCTAGTTAGGGAGTTGGGGCTTCGGGTTTGGAGTGGCAGCTTTGAGGTTTCGGCTCTGGTTGCAGGGCTCCGAAGCTGCGTCTTTCATAGGGAAGTCTGTGTAAGCCGCCATAACCAGGGAACCCTAAACCCTAAACCCTAAACCCTAAACCCTAAACCCTAAACCCTAAACCCTAAACCCAACCTAGCAAGAAGCTTTCTTTCTTTCTTCTCATGGCTGAAGTAAAGCTGCATAGCAGGAACCCACTTCGTCCTCAAGCGCGTCAGCAGCCGCCAAGTGTGTCTAGTCTTATTACTTGCTATGTTAAAGCCTGCTACTAAGAATGGCTAAGAAAGCTGAGATTCTTTTGCTAGTCTTTGTTTTATATTACTTTAAACTACTACTAAGACTGTCGAAGAAAGCTTCTTTTATTGTTTAATAATGCTGCTGATGTTGTCTCGCCTTGGGCCTCCGGAGTTTCGTCACGAAGGAGAGCCTTGCCACTTTGTAGGTTGTGTTGTCGGCTTACGGTTGAGGCGTTGAAGTGTGACTTTAGGGTTTAGGGTTTAGGGTTTAGGGTTTAGGGTTTAGGGGTTGCTCTTCTGAATTAGGTATTGGCTGCGGTGGGGTTTCCGGCCTCTCAGTGCGAGGTGAACGACTCCGTTCCACTCCACGAGCTCGGAACCGGTTCTGGCAGTCTGCATGTGACGCAAGGACTCGCGGCCGCAACAGCCTAAATCCATGAACCCATAGACCCTAACCCCCAACGGCCCAGCTCAGCCGCTTTGGGTTTCGATGGTGGGTTCTCTGAGTCCTGGGTTGCCACACTTCCGGATGCGCTCCAGCTGTGGGGCGTAGGAATGAACTTCGGCGATGAGGAGCTTGAGGATGGGGGCTTTAAACCTTGGGGATTTGGAGTTTAGTCTAAATCGAGGAGTGCGTCGCCTGTCAGGAGTGCCAGCAGAGCGAACGAGAGATTATCCTTTGGACGCTTGGACCAGTTACGCTTCTAGCCGAGATTCTAATGGTTTTTCTCAAGACTTCCGCCTACGCCATCTACGTGTCGTTATGATAAGGATGCCAAGGTGTTGTGTCCACATTGCTGACCCCCCTGATATGTTCTGCGTTAGGGTTACGGTAAGCTCAATGGTACCCTTCTAGACCCGCCCTTAATCCTGAATATCGCCTGACGCCGCGGAGTAGAACAGCCCCGAAACGCAAAAAGCGACGAGGAAAACATTGAGATCTACCAGTGCTGATGGGTGCTGCTGGAGGAATGGAGGCCAGGCGATCTGAAGTTCGCGCTCGGATTTTGTGATTAGGCTTGGAGGTTCCAAGGTTTCGACGTGCAAAGCGGCCGTAGGGATTTTGGGACCTCAAAATCGATAGTTTTGACGCTTAGGGCTTCGGATGTGACAGGCCGTGAGAAGAAGCTCCAAAATGAAAAGACCCTTAAACCCTAAACCCCAAGCCCTTAAAGCCCTTAAAGCCCTAAACCCTAAACCCTAAACCCTAAACCCTAAACCCTAAACCCTAAACCCTAAACCCTAAACCCTTAAACTCAAAGCCTCGGAGGCGCTCAAGTGCGAGAGCTGAGGCAGACTCCGCCTTTCAGAGCAGGCCATTGGGGGGTTTAAAGGGACTTAGTAACGAAGGTTACTATCAGGGTTTAGGGTTTAGGGTTTAGGGTTTAGGGTTTAGGGTTTAGGGTTTAGGGAGGGCTTAGGGTGTAGTGTCTAGGGTTTAGGGTCTAAAATTGAGGGCTTAGGGTTGAGGGTACCAGCCCTAAACCCTAAACCCTAAACCCTAAACCCTAAACCCTAAACCCTAAACCCTAAACCCTAAACCCTAAACCCTAAACCCTAAACCCTAAACCCTAAACCCTAAACCCTAACCCGTGCCAGACCCCGGGGCCTCACACCTTGAGGATTGCAGCCTGAAGCCTGTGGCCTGAGGGTGTTCTCTCTGGGGCTCTGAAGTTCGGTTTAGGGTTTAGGGTTTAGGGTTTAGGGTTTAGGGTTTAGGGTTTAGGGCAATATAGAGGCCTTCATAGTTAGAATAGGGTTTTGGAGCCCACTAATAATTAGAATAGGGTTTTGGGGCCCCCTTGAGCAGTTAATCCCCCCTAAACACCCAAACACCGAAACCCCTAAACCCTAGATACCTAAACCCTAAACTTTCCTAAACACCTAAATACCTAAACGCCTAAACCCTAGACACCTAAACACCTAAACCCTAAACCCTAAACCCTAAACACCTAAACACCTAAACCCTAAACCCTAAACCCTAAACCCTAAACCCTAACACCGAAGCCCTAAACCCTAAACACCTAAACCCTAAACACCTAAACCCTAAGCACCTGAGCCCGAAGTCCCCAATCTTCCATGAAGCGCGCCGTTCCAGGGGCTTGGCGCCGAATCTCTGGAGCTCTCGGAGAAAAGCGCCGCGCTGCCATGGGGGGGGGGGGTGGGTTAGGGTTTAGGGTTTAGGGTTTAGGGTTTAAGGTTTAGGGTTTAGGGTTTTGGGGGGCTGCTGGGCTGTATTTATGGTTTAGGGTTTAGGTTTTTAGGGTTGAGGGTAATGCAGAATTTTTAAATAAGTAATAGCTATAAGTAAGCCCAAACCCCAATTCTAATTATTATTAGCTCTTTGTTCTTCCGTAGGGTTCCTTGATGTAGGTACTGTAGAGTATACCCCAAAGCCCTATTCTATTGTTGCGTAGTATGCCACAGTATGCCCCAAAACCTTATCCTTTGTCTGAAGGACCCTATGTTGCTTGCTTTGCGGCGGGATCTGCGCCCGAATCCTCTGATCTGTAATTTGGTTTTTAAGGGTCCAGGGTTTGTGGTTTAGCGTCCAGGGTTTGGGGTTTAGGGTTTGGGGTTTAGGGGTTTAGGGGTTTAGGGGTTTAGGGGTTTAGGGGTTTAGAGGTTTATGGGTTGGGTGATTGAGGAGCCGATGTTGACTGAAGCGAACTTCTGTTTTTTCAGGGGCCAGGATGCTCCAATGTAAAGACTCAGCATGTTCACGGCCACGTCGCTGTCCTGCTTGCCCTAAACCCTAAACCCTAAACCCTCGGTCAAAAAACCTAAGCAAAAAACCCTAAACCCTAAACTCTCGGTCAAAAAAAACCTAAACAATAAACCCTAAACCCTAAACCCCTAAACCCTAAACCCCAAACCCGCTTTGCCTCGTGGCAGCAGCCGGGGGGTGGTTTGCCGCAGCTTCTTCCATACAACTTCAAGCTCCATGCAGCATGGCAGTAGCTGGGTCTCCTCTCTCAGGGCTTTAGGACGTAATAGAGCCACGGTTTAGGGTTTAGGGTTTAGGATTTAGGGTTCAATTACCTATACCATTTTGGGGGTTCCTTATTACACTTCTAGTATAGTATACCCCAAGACCCTATTCTAATTCTTAAGGCCCCTGCACTAAGCCCTATAAGCACAACAAGGCTGAATCCTCCTAAACCCTAAACCCTAAACCCTAAACCCTAAACCCTAACCGAAGCCGAAGGTTGGGAGGAAGCCTTCGTGGACCATGTCCTCTCCTTGGCTGAGCTTGTGACCGGATTTCCGCGCCAAGAGCGCCGCTCCGTGGAGGAGGTGCCTTTTAGGGTTTAGGGTTTAGGGTGTAGGGTAACCGGGGCTCAAAGTTTATGGGTTCTTGGGATTGGGCTGCTGAGGTTCAGGGTTTGAGGCGGTCTCAGAGTTTGGGCTTCAAGGTGTAGGGTTTAGGGTTTAGAAGTTTAGGGGCTTAGGGGTTTAGGGGTTGAGGGTTTAGGGTTTAGGTTTAGGGTCTCGCATGTGTCGTTTCACTCTTGCTCTTCTTCATGGCAGTTCGACTTGCAGGTTTGTCAAAAATAACGCATGTTCTGTTCCCTGCATTGGAATGTCTTGGATTGCTGCAACAAAAAAGTAGCAATTCAGGATGCAAGAAGACAGGAACAGAAGAAGCTATACCATGAAATGAAAGAGACACGGCAGAGCTACTATGCTGAGAAGAACCAGGACATGTAGTGCACAGAAAGGAACGAAGCCTAACAGAGATTACTTTTGATGTATGCAACTATCGAGTCAGTATGGGTAGTGGGTCAAAACACATCAAATCGCAACGGCATAGCGATAAGTTAGAAGAAAAGAAGGAGGACGAATGCCTTGACGAACAAGCACACGAAGAAGGTAAAGGTAAGAAAGGGAGACAGTTTGGTTTTGAATGCTTTAGGTTATTCGAAAATGACAACCTAATTCACTTTTCGTTGATGGTAAAATACCTGATGGCAAAAAGCGTGGCAAAGTGGGGTTGTATGAGGGGACAAAGTGATACATCAAAATGCGGAATTTTGGCGAACCCTAAACCCTAAACTGTGCCTGGCTCTAAGGCCCCAAAACTTCCCTGAGCTTGCACGACTAAAAACCGCGGACCCCTGCACCCTAGGCAGATGATGCAATCCAAGCTGCTCGGGGAGTTAACGAGGACCTCACAAATTTCGGGTCTGCTGGGCTTGCAGCTTTGGGGCTTTAGGTAGTATTATTAGGGGTACCCTTAAAGGGTACCCCTTCTGAACCCTACTTTTGGCTCTCTTAGAAGGGACCTTATTGAGAGGGTCTATATCCCCAAGGGTCCCCTTAATCCTAGCTCCCAGGCTTCTTGTTTAGAGGTTTGGGCTTTCAGGTACTAGCTTTGGGTGCTTGCAAGACTGCAAGGGGTTAGCTGAGCTCGGACTCTCGAACTTGGATCAAGGCCGGATTGCTGTGTTTAGATTTCAGCTGATCTCGGCTTACGGGTGCTTGGAGGTTCATGGGTAGTTAAACATTTGTGTTATAAGTCCCCTAATAGAGGTTATAACTATAATTACCTTACTTATAACCCTACGTATAACTACCCATGAAACTTCAAATATGACCCCTTATAGACCCCTTATAGGATCCCTTAAAGAGCCCTTATAGGACCCTCTTTTAGATTCCTTAAAGGAGCCTTCATTTGAGGATTTCGGATGTCCAGGAGCACCGGCAAGCCTGGGAGAACTGGCGCACGCGCTGGTCGGATGTCCCCGAAGTTCTCAAGACGGTGGCGCAGGCGCGGGGAGTCGCAGTTTGAGGTTTAGTACGTTTAAGGCCTAGTAGAGTTCAGAAAGACTGAAGGAGGGACCCTTAAAGGAACCCTTGGGGTTATATAGGGGCTTTGTGAGGCTATATAAGGTGTATAAATAGGGTATGTAGGGTGTTTGGGTAAGGGGTCCCTTCTAGGGGTTGTCCCTTGAGTTCATGTCTCAGTTGTAGTATTTAATTGGCATTCAGGGTGTGGGGTGCGAATCGTACTGACACCGCTCAAAACGTCCCTCAACCCTAAACCCTAAACCCCTAAACTCCTAAACTCCTAAACCCTAAACCCTAAGCCCTATTCTTGGAGTTTAGTGGTTCAGCCTTTCTTGGCTTAAATTAAGCGGCAGGCTAGGCTCAACCCAAAACCCAAAACCCAAAA